TGACCTCAGTCATACTTGGCGGAAAATTCAAGGATTTTGTGATGAACACATCTGGTGTGTATCTGGCTGAGAGGGAAGCTCCGTAGCCAGCCCATATCTGCGACAGGACCATCACACCAATGACGAAAGCCCAGTGTTATTGACTATCTCTGCTATGGCCAAAGAGTTGTTCTGAACTATGACATGCTGAAGACTATGGGGGATTTTACCCATGACATGAGCTACATAGAAAGTTGGGGAATCAAACTTCACGCTTCGGTGACGAGAATAAAATTATTGCCAAGGGCCTTGCAGATTTCCTTGTGGCAGCAGGGCAGGAAGTACCTCCCACCCCACCCCAGCTGCAGAACATAACCAAGTATCAGCCATGGTCAAGCCTACCTCTGAATATAGGTTGGCTCTGGGGGTGGGGGGAAATGTATGAAGAGGGCTGGCCCTTTTATGGGAGTTAGGGACCAGACTACCTGTGACAGGCTCCTGTAAGGGAGAATGAGACAACCCAGACCGACATGGAAGTAATTAAATCCCTATGTGACTAGTTGGCAGCTAAATAATTAATGAGCCTGAAAAAGGGTTACCGGGGCTCAGCCGAAGGAATCCTAGGGACAGGAAGCTGCCGAGAAGAGGAGCTCCCAGGAGAGCTCACCAGAGCAAGGAGCCTGGAAGGGGTGCTTCCAGAGCAGTGGTCCCCAAACTGTGGGTTGTGCCCCCCTAGAGGGTGTGGAGGAACATTTGGGGGCATGGCAGGGCATGGACCAGCCCCCATGGGTGGCAGGAAGGGAACACCAACCAGTCTTACTCTGTCCCCACCTCCACTCTGGCCCCACCCTAAGCCCCAGCTGCAGCTCCAGCCCCAGCCTCAGCCACCGACTCCTGGCCCTGCTCCAGGCTGCGACCCCAGCTGCAGCTCCAACTCCAACCGTGGTTCCACTCCCGGCCAAAGCCCCCAGCTCCTGGCCCCAACTGCAGCCCTAGTTTCAGCTCAGGCTGCACCAGCGGCTTCGCTCCTAGCTGAAGCCTGCGGCTCCCGGCCCTAACAGTGGGTCCACTTCCAGACACAGCCCCCAGGTCCTAGTCCCAGTTGCAGCCCTGTTCCTGACCCAGCTCCTGACCGCAGCTCCTGGGGTTGGGGCACAAACCAGGTAAGGGAGGGTGTCATAAATATAAAGGGAAGGGTAAACCCCTTTAAAATCCCTCCTGGCCAGAAAAAAAAAATCCTTTCACCTGTAAAGGGTTAAGAAGCTAAAGGTAACCTCACTGGCACCTGACCAAAATGACCAATGAGGAGACAAGATACTTTCAAAAGCTGGGAGGAGGGAGAGAAACAAAGGGTCTGTGTGTCTGTCTATATGCTGTTTCTGCCGGGGATAGACCAGGAATGGAGTCTTAGAACTTTTAGTAAGTAATCTAGCTAGGTATGTGTTAGATTATGATTTCTTTAAATGGCTGAGAAAAGAATTGTGCTGAATAGAATATCTATTTCTGTCTGTGTATCTTTTTTGTAACTTAAGGTTTTGCCTAGAGGGGTTCTCTATGTTTTGAATCTAAATACCCTGTAAGGTATCTACCATCCTGATTTTACAGAGGTGATTTCTATTTACTTCTATTTCTATTAAAAGTCTTCTTGTACGAAAACTGAATGCTTTTTCATTGTTCTCAGATCCAAGGGTTTGGGTCTGTAGTCACCTAGGCAAATTGGTGAGGCTTTTTACCAAACCTTGTCCAGAAAGTGGGGTGCAAGGTTTTGGGAAGTATTTTGGGGGGAAAGACGTGTCCAAACAGCTCTTCCCCAGTAACCAGTATTTGTTTGGTGGTGGTAGCGGCCAATCCAAGGACAAAGGGTGGAATATTTTGTACCTTGGGGAAGTTTTGACCTAAGCTGGTAAAGAGACGCTTAGGAGGTTTTTCATGCAGGTCCCTACATCTGTACCCTAGCGTTCAGAGTGGGGAAGGAACCTAGACAGAGGGCATAACCAAAAATGTTTGGGAACCACTGTCCTAGACAGAGGAGCTCCCCTAACGGGGAGGTGCTGCCAGAGATGACAGCAGCAGCTGTAGAAGGTCAGAGCCCTGGAGAGCTGCCCCCGGCTGGAGAAAGTGGATGCAGAGAATAAAGGCACAGTCTGAAATGACCCCAGCTCCGGGAAGGAGGGCTGGAGTCATGTGATTCCACAAGGGAAACTAATCCAAGCCCAGCTCTGGGAAGGAGGACTGAGGACTCCTGACTTGAAAACAGTGAGGGGCTGGAGCAGAGTGAAGGAAAAGATTTTATTTTGGGGTTTACTTGGACTCAGAGCGGACCCCAGGAGGGGACATTTCTCTCAGGTCTTTTGGACTGTGAGGCGTAATTTAAGAAGTGCTGAAGAGGGTAAACTGAGGCAAGATGCTTGCCAAGACACCCTGAAATGACTGAGGGTGGTACGTGAGGGCGCCACCGCATAATGAGTCTACAAAACTAGAACCAATTTAACAGAACTGCTGCCCCTTCCCCATGCAGACAGAGCCTCGCTCTCTTCAGTCTGTCTGGGCGGGCCCCTCACCACAGCATCTGACCCCAACAGAGCCTGCAGCACAGAGTGGAAATTTGGAGCGAACACAGCACAGGTTTTTGGGCCTGTCATAAATATAAAGGGAAGGGTAAACCCCTTTGAAATCCCTCCTGGCCAGGGGAAAGCTCCTCTCACCTGTAAAGGGTTAAGAAGCTAAAGGGAACCTCGCTGGCACCTGACCAAAATGACCAATGAGGAGACAAGATACTTTCAAAAGCTGGGAGGAGGGAGAGGGACAAAGGGGTTTACCCTTCCCTTTATATTTATGACAGGGCCACCCACCTGGCATCCAGTGTCCCTGTCCCCGCTCCCAGGTTGCTCCCGCTCCCCCACAGCCTCCAGCTCCCCCCGACCTCAGGCTGCCTCTGCCCTGTCCTGTTCCCTGGCGGTGACCCAGAGCCCAGCATGGAGCCATCAGGGTCACTACAATACTGTCTGCCACACCCAGAAGACAGGCACGGGATGGGCTCAGGGAGTGGCTGGCCTCACAATGGGACCCTTGTACCCCCTCCCCCAGTGTTTGCTGCTGCCCTTGCTGGGCCTTGTCTGCACTCAGACCAGGAGCCCTGTGGGGCTGGCAGCCCCGTGTTCTGTCTCTGCAGTGCCTGGCTCACTCGTGGGCGCTATACCAATAATAACACTCACTGCCCAGCCCCTAAGGTCTGCAGGACAGCGCGGGGCCTTCCCCATCGCACACGGAGACCCTGGGGCGCAGGGAGCCCTGGTTACTCTGCCCCACACATTCACCCAGCGACTCCCCCGAGCTGCCGGACCCGGGTCCCTGGGGTCAGAGCGCGGGCAGTCGAGTGGCAGTGACCGGCCGGGGCTGCTGGGGGGGCTGGCAGGAAAGGGTTAATCCCAGCACGGTGGCCCTTTGCTGCCCGGCCCTGGCTGGTCTCTGCCCTCTGGGGGCAGCACAGGGAGCGTGTCTCTGAGCAGGTCCCTGCCCACTCGCCCGGCCACTCGCCCAGACCCAGAGAACCCAGGTGCCGGGGGAGGAGCAGCCCCAGCAGCGCCGCATTGGCCCTGGCACGGGCTGAGCCTGCGAGCGCAGCACCAGAGGCCGCGGCGGGGGGGGGGCTCAGCCATTGAGAGCAGCAGGGTCCCCCCCCACCCGCAGGGGAGGGGTCGGCGCTGGGACAACAGGCCGGGCTGGGCCAGGGGCTGGGAGCTCTGGCAGCCAGCGCGGGGCCAGCACCAAGGGCCCTGCTGGAGACCCTGGGCCTGGCCAGCCGGGAGCAGCCAGCGAGTGACTCAGGGCCTGGGGCCCTGCCCAGGACGGGGTTTCCGGGGGGTGACAGGAGGCTCCCCAGGGGCTGCTGATCCCCTAGAAGGAGGCACGGAGGTGACTGGCTCAGGATCCCCACAGGCTCAGGGGCCAGGGCTGTGGAATGGCCCAGAGCCCAGCCGTGTTCAGGGTCCGGAGGGCACAGACTGTGCTGGGCTGGGGGCAGCGAGGGGGCAGGGGATCCGGGATGTGCTGGCTCCAGCCAGCCACAGAGAGGAAGCTGCTTCCCCCACAGCCTGGGGTTCCTGCTCCCCGGAGCCCTGAGATCCTGGCCCTGCAGCCGGCACCCACTGCGCAGCCTCCATCGGCCGGGACAGACACACCCAGCTTGGCCCCTTCGACTGCCCCCTGCTGGGGGTGGGGGGTGGGAAGAGAGGAGCGGAGGGGGTAGGATGAAAGGGCCAGTTCAACTATCAGAGACCAGGCTCACTGAACCTTCCCACTCCCCCTCTCCTCGGCCTTAGCTTCTTATCTGTCCCTCCTTGCGGTCAGGTTTCTGTCTTTGCCCCCGGTCGCCGCGCTGGGGCTGTGGGGAGGGGTTTGGATGGGGGCAGCTCACGCTCAGACACTGTGACAGGGTCACACTCTTGTGAGTGAGTCTCACCTCACTGAGCAGCAAACCACTGACCCAATCTCACACTGGGCTGTGCTCAGAGCAGACTAGGGGCCCGTAGGATTCAGCTTGTTACCCAGTAACACACGGCCCAGGTCAGACCGCAGCAGCCAGACCGGCCCCTCCTCCAGCTCAGAAAGCTCAGCCAGCCTTGGCTAAAGGGGGCTGGGGCAGTGCTGAGCGGTGGCCACACAACGCAGCTCTCACCTGTCCCAGGACAGAGGCACAGACACATCATCCGTTACCAGTCTGTGCAGCTCCCAGCACAGTGGGCCCAGTCCAGGCCTCACAGCACCTGGCTCAGGGACACCCATTAACTCAGCCATGGAGGAGTCAGGATGTCACAGTGATGGGGCCTGGTCACACACCTGGGCAAGTATCAGCAGGTGGCTGTAAGTAGCGGGCAAACTGCCCAGCACTCAGCGCATCAGCCTCCAGCTCTCACACAGCTCCAAGCCTGTCAGCTGGGTGCAAGCGTGTCCTGGGGTCCCAGGCTCTGTCCAGATCCCCAGGCACAATACAGCTGAATGTCCCAGTACACGCCACTCACCTCCAAATCTCTTCAGCGCTTCCTCATGTCAAGGGAAATTTTATATACGTTCTTCAGGTCAGTAGAAACAGCTTCTGGTTCCTGGAGTTTCACATTCTCGCTCCTATGAAGATAACGTCCCATCATCACTCAGCTGCTCTGTACGCACAACATCCCAGAACCACCACCAAGAATATAAGAGCAATGAACATAGGAAACACACCTGCTCAATGTGCTTGTCACATCCTGAAAGGAAAAAGAGAATCAATGTCCTGTATTAACACAATGTGCATAGAACTGAGTGAGTTTCACTCTGGGCATCAAACTTTCTTGTAGAAAATAGATCAACCCTCCCAGGCTTCACTGTTTTGAACACTTGTTTCATACATATAGGGGAGACAGGAATTTAGCTCAAGGGTTCTCCCTTCTAGGGACACAACACACCAGTATCTGTGTTTATTGACTGTTGGGTCCAATGTTCTGGGGTCAGAGCAGGGATGGGTTTAGCTCAGTATCATTTTTGTATTATCCATTTAATCTCCCACGGCCTCACTGGACCTCCATGAGGAGAATTCCCCTGTATCATGAACTGAGATATTTGGGATCTGATGGAGCCCTCAGCCTGATGTTCTGTTTGTCAGTAAACCACAGAACACATTGACTCTAATTGTTGGAATCCAGACCCATGGAGCTGAGTTATAATTCTGGATGGGTGGAGAATTTTGATGCCATCTCACCTTCAGCAGCTCCGCAACCGGTTGTTGACATTTCTCCTCTATCTCTGTGATCAGCTGCTGCAGAGAGGAGCTTTGCCGGGAGAGTTTGGTGACATTTTCCTGCAGTCTCTGCAGAGTCTCCCTCTCCTCCTCCTTCAGGCTCCGCAGAAGCAGCTGCTCCTCCTCTCTCAGCAGTGTGTGCAGTTTGTTAAATTCACCTGCAATCATCTCTCTCTTATTCTTCACTTTCCCCTTGAGATAGAAAAATAGGAAAGGCACAGAGAAAACGTGATCCAAACGTTGTATTACATGGACTGGGCCTCTGTCCATGAAACAGGGGATATTAGATCAGTATCAGTTTTTAAGGGTATTTACTTAATATGACCAGTTCCATAGCGGGGTTGTCTACGGTGCTTTGTAAAGACACAGTATGTTATTGCAGGTGGCAAGGGATGGACACAGTGGAGTGGGGAGAAATCGAGGGGACAGTAAAGATTTACAGGGGGCTGCACAGGGCATCTGTGGAGGGATTTGGGTGCCAAGTGCTGGGCACTCAGACACCCGGGGGAGCCGTCACAGCAGGATGTGGGTGATGCTCCTTCTTTGACAATCAGCTCCCAGGGCTGCAACATTCAGGACTTAGGGCTGGTGCTTATAGTTCTTTGGGTGCCATCCTGGGGCTCACATGGCTGTTGGGCGCCCAGGATATTGTCAGGGCTGGCTTTGGCCTCACACAGCCTTGCCGAGTGCCCCATGCCCATGTGCCCAGTGCCCCTGGGATCGCAGCCTTTAGGAAGCCCTCCAGGATCACAGAGCAGCAGGTTGCTGATGCCAGCTGTGTCCCCACATGCTCTCTGAAAGGAGCCGTGGGAACGATGCTGAGCCGGTGATGATCCTGGTAGGGGGACGGGCTGGCTGCTCTGCACTGGCCTCTCTAGCTCCCCTGCAACTCAGCCTAGAGGTGCTGGGTGACCCTGGGGTGAGCCTGCCCTCCAGTGTGACTTGGGCTACAGTGATGTTGGGAAAAGTCCCTCTTACTCTCCCTGAGATGCCAAAAGGGCCAGGGGCTTCAGCAGCTTCCCCAGCCCGTCCCCTGTCCCCAGAGCCCTCCTCCCTGAAACCCCAGTGTGTGAGCCCCCAGCCCTTCCCCCCACCAGTCTGTGCCCTGAGCTGACCCCCCTCCCGTTCCCTGTGCAGGGCTCTAACCCGTCTGTCTGTCCGGCTCACCTGTGTGGTGGGGGAGGGGCCGTGCCCAGTGTCGAGGCAGCTGCTTGAGCGCTGTAACGTCCACCTCCTACCTCTGCCCTGGCTAACCCGAGCTCCCAGCGCAGCCCTCCAGCACCCCTGGACCCATCTGCCAATGGGCTTTGGACACCGACCGATCCCCCAGACTAACCCCCACCCCGCCCTTGGGAGCGCGGCAGCCACAGGGCACTCAGACAACTCGGGTACAGCCCTGACAAGGCCCAGCCCCCTCAGGAGACCCTGTGGGCACCTGCCCGAGGCTTTGTGCATGTGGCCTGGACCCTGCAAAGGGCCGTGGGCCTGCAGCCTCCTTCCCCTCCTGCCCCCTGGAAGCTGTTGAGTTACAGCTAATTCGAGTGGTGCAGCGTTACCATATCCCCTAACATCTCCCCCCATCAGACACGGACAACGCATCCTTCATGGGGGGGCCTGTCGCCTCCCGGGCCCTGCTCCCGCCCGTGGGGATACTCCCCACCTGGCTCAAGCCCATGACGGCCCCTCTCAGTGGGTGACTGGCCGCCCCTGCTGGGCCTCATCTCACAGTCGCTGGGGCTGCAGTTACTCTGCACCGAGTGACACTGATCACTGGGCTGTGACCTCTGGTGCTGTGGGACGTAACTCGCTCTCGCTGGGCAATAATCAAGGGTTTCAGAACCACCCCAGTGACTGTCCCAAGGTGCAGCCGCCTCCATGGCGCCGGCTGGGAACTTTGCCGGACACATTCAAACCTGGCTGTTAATTGTTATGCACCTAAATCCCTCTTGTCTGAGGAACTGAGCACCAGCTGCTTCCGGTGCGGGGAGTGGGAGCTGCTGCGGTTCTGTCCTCTGGAAACCAGCCCACTTCCGCCGGGCTCTAAACACGGCGTCAGATGCAGAACCAGGGGCACCAAGCTCTGAGCATTTCAGCTCTTGTAAATGGCCATTTTTATCTGAATAGTGGGACACCTGCTTCTCCTCTCCTCCCTGCTGCTGGCGTCTTCCTCACCCCCCCCCCCCCCCCCCACGCTCTCTGCAGGGATTTCACTGGAAAAGGCAGGCGAACCAGAACAGACATTTTGTCCCCTGGGTTCATCAGCTGGCTACAGACAAGCACAGGTAAAGTCACAGGAACAGTAGCAGGTGCCTGGGATGAAGTGGCCACGTGATGGCAGGAGAGGCTGTGAGGTGGCCGAGCGCTGCCTGGCTTTACACTGACCTGCCCCTGGCTCTGCTCACTCAGGGGGTGTCCACACTGCAGTGAAGGTCTGACAGCACCGTGTGTAGACACACCCCAGCTAGCTTTGATCTAGCGAGCTCGGGTACTGGTAGCTATGAAGCCGCAGCAGCATGGGCTGTTCACTCTTCCAGACCCCTGGGTGTCACTCAGGGACTAGCCTGCAGCTAGCTGCTGGGGCCATGTAGACGCCCCTGGGGGCAGATCACGAAAGCTCATGCTCAAATAAATTGGTTAGTCTCTAAGGTGCCACAAGTACTCCTTTTCTTTTTGCGAATACAGACTAACACGGCTGTTCCTCTGACACCCACCACTGGGTTTGATGCTCAGAGGAGCTCAGCTCCCAGCGTGCCCCCAGCCCAGCCAGCTGAGCGAATCTGAACCTCACCCATGGGGGCAAATCCTCCTCCCAGCTCCCAGCTCCAGTGTCTGGCCCAGGCACTGGGCAGATTCATTGCAGGGACTGTGGGTGCAGGGAGAGAAGGAACAATCTGTTTCCTCCAGGCTGCAGAGAAGCTGCAGAGCTGTCATGGAGGCCACTGAAAACCGATGGCTGGAGCAGCCGACACACCCTCCCCACCTGCAGGAGGGAAACAGGATCCATGGAATAGTGAAAACACTGCACCCAGTATGGAGAATTTGCCCCATCCGAGATCTCAGGGGTGGGTCTGCATCACTGTACAAGGGCCAGGAACTGCCCCTCCTCCTCCGCCTACAGGAGCTGCTGCGCTGAGATCCCCACCGGAGATACAGCCTGATGCTGCCAGCACCCTGGATGGCAGGTACCACAGGCCAGGGGAGGCTGAGCCTCCCCAAACAGGATGCCGCGCCCCTCCCTTTGGAGGCAGGCTGCAGACCTGCTGCCTTCGGAGTTCTGCCTGAGCTCCGCCCGGAGCCCTCGCTCCCGCTCTTCCCCCGAACCCCGCAGCACCCGCTGCTTGCCGCCCATCAGCTGTGTGGGGGGCCCCGCCACTTGCTCCTCTCCGCCCCTCCCCTGTCACTCGCCCTTAAGGCAAGAGGGGGAGGAAAGGAGCAAGTAGCAGGTGAGGGGGCCTTGCAGGAGGGGGTGGGGGAGAGGAGCAAGCTGCAGCAGTGAATCATGAGCTGGGAGCCTCTGGGAAGGGGGCTGAGCGGGAGCAGGGCATGGGGCAGAGCAGGAGTGGAACCTGGGTGGGGCCATGGGGAAAGGAGGCCAAATGGGTCTGGAGCAGTGGGCAGGGTGATGATCCAGGCACTGGGGAATTTCCAGCACTCATGCCAGGGCTCCCCAGACGCTGGAGGCATGCACCTTCCATGGCCGGCACCAAGCCTGTGCCACGGAGCAAACAACCAGAGCAGGTTCATAACCTCATCCTGGAGCTTTATGGCCCTGTCATTCCTGGGAACGCTGCAGGCAGAAGGGCTCAGGGTGGAATAAACCCGGACACCCACCTGCCACTCTGTGGTTTTCTCCTCCTCTTCAGAGGTCAGAGCCAGAGCCTCTTCCAGCTTCTTCCTCAGAGGGCCCAGGGCTCCCTGGAGTTTCACCTGCAGGGGCATCGTGTGCAATAAACAGCCATTAGTCTGCCTGTCCGATGGGTGGACAGCACTATCCATATTGGCATTTCATACAGGAGCAGTAAAATACCCTGGAAGCGAGCAGCTGACTTGGCTCTGCTGGCCCCAAAGGCCTCATGGGAGCCAAGACGCCAGTCTCAGAGCGGGGGCTCTGCTTCGTGCAGACACTCAGGACTTCTCAAGTCCTGTGTTTTAGCTGAAGTTTCCCATCCCTGAGCACAGGCCAGAGGGGAAATAGCTGGGAAGGTTCTGAACGATCCCTCCTGCCAGTGCGAGTGAAGAGGTTGGGACAGCACCTCGCTCCACTGTACCCCAGACCCAGGCCAGGAACAAGACCCCACTGGGCTCTCGTCTGTCCAGGCGCCCATGTGGCCTCCCTCGGGCAGCAGCTGAGCACCTGAGCCAGTGCAGTCCCGTTAACTGTGCAGGGTGAAGCTGTGATGTGGCTGGAGGTCAGTGAGGAACAGGGAACACACTCGATCTGGGGGAATGGGCCACCCATAATTATAACGGCTCCAGAGCTGTAATAACCCAGGGCTCTCTTCCCCTTTGACAGCGTGTGATTCATTCACACAGCACAGCAACATGCTCCTGCCCCGTCAGCCCCGCTCTGTGCAACACCCATGGTAGCCCCCCAGAGTCCCCTCCTGAGCCCCCGCCAGAGATCTCCCCATTTCACTCTCTCTCTTTTCTCTGAGCCTTCGAGTTCTCTCCTCCTCCCTGACAAGGGCCCAGGCTGCAGCTGCTGCTGAGAGCTCCTGGGGTGCTGTTCAGCTGACACCCCTGGGGTGCTGCTGCAGGGAAGCAGCGAGGGAGGGAGCCAACAGGGGCTAGTGAGAGACAGGAGGCAGAAAAGCAGCCTTTGCATCCAGCAAAGCAGCTTCATAAATGAGCAGGGATCAGAACTGGGGCTGGGGGGGGGGGGGGGGGGGTGGTAGCTGGATTCTTTGAATCTCCACCCACAAAAGAAGCTCCACCCATGTGAGTCACCAAAAGGAGACACCACGATCTGTTCACAGTAGATGGTGCAATGTTCAGAACAGGATGGAGTGGCTGATGGGCTCCAAGGGGCTTCTGGGGCCTGGCTCCCCTCATGGGGCTCGAATATACCCCTGGGGTCTGCTGGACTCTCTGGGCCGGGTCCTCCTTTACTGGGGGGAACAGAAGAGGTGGCATCTCCCAAACATCACCCGCTTGTGGCACCAGAAGGAGGCGTCACTGGCAATAAATGGTGCCGAGCTGCAATTCTCCCTCTCCGCTCTCACAGGGGAACAAAATAATTAACAGTGTTGATATTTAAGTGATCAGTTCTCCAGTCTGAAGGTAACACACTCACATAGACTGGCCTGCAGCTCTTGTGATTTAAATCTCACTGATTGTTAACACTGTCCGTTGTGTAAAACGTCCCCTTCTTTCAGCAGTGGAAGCTGGGTTTGAAAAGCATTCAGAATCTCAGAGAAAAGTTTCCCACAGCAGATATCTTTTAAGACTTGATATTCTGATTCTGCTGCCACACTGCCAGATCATTCATTTTGTTTCAGCATCTCCCATACAATGAAGGCTTTACAGAGCTGAGTGATGCGTCACACCTGTGACAGGCAACTTCCAGTGAAATCAGCCTGTAATGAAAATCCAAAGTTATTACCCATTAAACTTGACAGCAATTCCCTACCTTGTACTCCTGGGCAGCCTCCTCTATGGGAACCACCGTGTGAGCTCTGTGAGCCCGGGACAGATGGCAAACCACACAGATGGGGGTTTGATCCTCTTCACAGAACAGTTTCAGAGTCTCCTGGTGTTCCCCACACACCCCACCCCCTCCTGCTCCCTTCGCTGCCCGGAAACTCAGCCGCTTGGCGATTTCTACCATGTTTCCCAGCTGCCGGTTGGGCCTGAGGTTTCTCTGTTGCGCAGTTTCTCTGCACTGAGGGCAGGAGGTGTCTGTACTGGATCCCTCCCAGTACTGGCTGACGCAGACGTGGCAGAAATTGTGCCCACACTCCAGAGTGACCGGTTCTGTGAAATACTCCAGACAGATGGGACATGTCGCTTCCTCCTGGAGACTTTCTGCGGGGTTGTCTGCAGCCATGGCTCCCTCCAGGCAGTGGAACAGGGGTAGTTTCACTTTCCTGAGCTCAGAAATATGCCCCGCCTCCAGCAGCAGCAGCTGGGTGTTTCCCTTCCTGGAACTGACTCAGGCTGTTTGCTGAGCTGGAGCCAGATCACTGGGAACATTCCAGCCTTGGAAGCTTTGGTGAGAAATGTCCCCAAAAGGCTCCGATCCTGCAACAAGCCCCCTCTGCTGGTGTGTGTGTGTGGGGGGAGGGTGGTCACTGGGGCTTCACATGGACATCAGCATCCCCCTGTCCTGGTAAGCTCACAGAACTGCGTGTCTAAGGAGTGATATTTAGGCTTGGCAAAAAGAAAAGGAGTACTTGTGGGTTAGTCTCTAAGGTGCCACAAGTACTCCTTTTCTTTTTGCGAATACAGACTAACAGGGCTGTTCCTCTGAAACCTGTCATTAGGCTTGGCAGAATTCATTTGGTTTAATATGTTTCAGAGTAACAGCCGTGTTAGTCTGTATTCGCAAAAAGAAAAGGAGTACTTGTCGAAAGCTTATGCTCAAATAAATTGGTTAGTCTCTAAGGTGCCACAAGTACTCCTTTTCTTTTTGGTTTTATATGTAATTTTGACAGATAAGATTAATATTTATTTGTAAGAATTTGTTTGTATTTAAACTTTTAGTTTAATTTTTTATCAATATTATTGTTCACAGTTGTGGGGAATGGGGGGGTCAGACAATATTTTAGTCAGACAATAATTATTTTATGACAGTGGACACGGAGATTCAAAAAGTTAAAAAGTGTAAGTTCTCAAGCAGCATTTTCTTTACTGTGCCTATTTGTAAATTTCAGTTATCATCAATGGAAATTTTTCTCCATGGTTTGTGTGTACAGTGAAATCAACATTTACTGACATCTACTGATAAAATCTAATCCTTCCCAGTCGAGGGATATTCAATTCACAGGCCAAAAACTTGGTTAAGCTGGAATCAATGTTTCAAAGGCCTGATTCTGATGTACGCTAAGGCAGCTTGGCATCAGTGTAAAGGAGACGCAGTGTCAAAAGTGTTGCCAACATTCATGATTTTATAATGAATCTCGTGAACATAAGAACGGCCAGACTGGGTCAGACCGGTAGTCCATCCAGCCCAGTATCCTGTCTTCTGACAGTGGCCAATGCCAGGTGCTTCAGAGGGAATGAACAGAACTGGTAATCATCCAGTGATCCAGCCCCTGTCACCCATTCCCAGCTTCTAGCAAACAGAGGCTATGGACACTTCAGAGAATGGTTTTGCCTGTTATTTGGTGGGTTTGTTAAAGCCCCAGCTCCTGGAAGCATGTGATGAGGTGAGACTCTTGGCTTTTGTTTCCTAAACAAAGGAAGGTTTTGCTTCGTTGATAGCAGAGAAAAATGTAACAATGTGATCCAAGTGCAGCCTAAAGGTCTGAGAAGCCAGATGGCAAATAGAAAGAACCCAACATTTATTATTAACTATTATTTTTAAGTCTCATGGTTTTTAAGGTGATCTCATCATTTCAGAGGTTCTGACTAATGAGTTTTAAAAGTTTGGAGTTGGCAATACTGTGAGAATTCAGGCCTTAACTCTGTATTCACTACCCATGGAAAGCCCCCTAATTTAATGTGATCATTTATGTAAAACAGCACAGTCAACAGAAAGGGAAACGGAGAGGGCAAGGTGTGTGAATGTGCATGGAGCCGGGCTGTAGGCCCAAGCAGCAAATGAGCCCAGGCCCCCTGGAGTAAGGGTGAAGTAAAGAGATAAATTACAATGTTCATTTTTATGTTTAGGTCCTTAGAGCCTTTGCTGGAGAACATGAACTAATCACTGCCTGGCCTGAAACGCCAGGCCTGAAAACACAAACTGATCACTGCCAATGCAGTACAGCCAGCACCACGTCATCAAAAATCTTGAGGTTGGCTGAAGGAAACTTGAAGGTTTTTCTTCTAAAAAATTACATTCTGGTGTTTTCGTTTGTTTCTGAGCGTTCATGATTCACTTTGGTCACGTTCTCAACCTTTTCTGCTCCGCCCTGAGAGCAAGAAACTGATCTTTGTTAAAGTGAGAGCTGAGATTGTCACATAATCATAGTGACAATAACATAACCAGCAGGAGAGTGAGTTTGTGTGTGTGTCATTATGCAAGGTAGCCTATTTCCTCTTGTTTTTTCCTACCCCCCCCCCCCAGATGTTCTGGTTTAACTTGGATTTAAACTTGGAGAGTGGTCAGTTTGGATGAGCTATTACCAGCAGGAGAGTGAGTTTGTGTGTGTATGGGGGTGGGGGGGATGTGAAAAAACCTGGATTTGTGCAGGAAATAGCCCAACTTGATTATCATGCACATTGTGTAAAGAGTTGTCACTTTGGATGGGCTATCACCAGCAGGAGAGTGAATTTGTGGGGGGGGGGGGGTGGAGGGTGAGAAAACCTGGATTTGTGCTGGAAATGGCCCAACCTGATGATCACTTTAGATAAGCTATTACCAGCAGGACAGTGGGGTGGGAGGAGGTATTGTTTCATATTCTCTGTGTATATATAAAGTCTGCTGCAGTTTCCACGGTATGCATCCGATGAAGTGAGCTGTAGCTCACGAAAGCTCATGCTCAAATAAATTGGTTAGTCTCTAAGGTGCCACAAGTACTCCTTTTCTTTTTGCTAATAACACCCTTGTGATTTGTGTGTGATTTGATGTGGAAGCCATCCTCCTAGTGTCCTGGGCATCCTGCCCCAAGTGACTAGTGAGGAGACATTCCTGTACTCCCGCTATTGCTTTCCCAGTTTATTCCTCTGGGCATCCTTCTAAGACACATTTCTCTGTGCTCCCAAGGAAGGGTTCTGTCTCTTGTTCATCTGCAAAGCTCCGCCAGCTAACAACTGGGACGGTTTCCTTAATCACTGACAACACCTCTCCTGCCCCTGCGCCTAAGGGCATGATGCCTTCTGCTGGAAAGGAGCTAGTCTAAGCCCCTCCCATACTTGGAAGCACACTGCTTCCCCGTGTTACAGAGTCACAGGAATCCTCACCCACTTCAACGGTTTCTGAGATTCCCTGCCCCTTCTCTGGGCTCTCCTCTGGGACACATTTCTCTATACTCCCTAAAGCCGGGTTTGTTTCTGGAGTTACCAGATTTGCCTGTTACTCTGGGATATGCTCATTTATTAGGGTTTCAGAGGAGCAGCCGTGTTCGTCTGTATTCGCAAAAAGAAAAGGAGGACTCGTGGCACCTTAGAGACGAACCAATTTATTTGAGCATAGGCTCTCTTTGATCAGAGCCTTTCTCAGTCAAGGCAACTGGACAAGCGCATTGCCTCCTGCTGAGTTGATGTACTGTAATGGTGAGAGACTGTACCAGCCTGGAAGTATACTGAAGGAAATGAAGAGTTTAAATTATCCTCCACATTCGTCGCGCCTGCCTGAGAGACCCGCGCGCCCCTTCGACTCTACCCCGCCCCGCCCTGCCATTGGCTGCTCAGCCAGGCCGACCCCGCCTCCCGACCGCTCTGTCAGTCACGGGCGGATGCCCCCCCGTGCCTGGCCTAGGGGATTTTGGGTGATGTAGTTTTTGTGCGGCGGAAGTGACGCCGGCCCCTCGGCGGTCAGGCGGAGCGTCAGCGAGCGCGTGTCGCGGGGGCGGGGCTCGGGGCGTTGTCGGTCGCCCAGGGAACAGCCGAGCCCCGGCCCCCGGTGAGGGCGAGGGCCACGTCCTGGCGTTGCCTGTCCTGGGGAGTCTGGCCCCGTGTTTGCCCCACCGTGGCCACAAGCCCCCTTTCCCCCCCACCCCGGCCCCATCCGGCGTGTCCCAGCCTGGAGCCTGGCCCCGGCGCGAGGGAGGGGTGGGGAGAGCTGGGGCGGGGGCTCGGGGCAGGGGAGAGGGCGGAGAGCCCAGCCCCAGGGCTGTGTGAGGACGGGCCCAGGCTGGGTGAATGGGGCCTGCTCCTGGGAAGGAGCCGGGGCAGCTCTTCTCCCCCCCCCCTCCTCCTCCTCCTCTCCCCACGCGCTCATAAGAGCGGCCAGACTGGGTCCGACCAAAGGTCCGTCCAGCCCAGCGTCCTGTCGTCTGCCGGTGGCCAGCGCCAGGAGCCCCAGAGGGAAGGAACAGAGCAGACAGTCGTCCAGTGACCCATCCCCGGTCGCCCATTGCCAGCTTCTGGCAAACAGGCTAGGGACACTTCAGAGCATGGTTCCCCTGCCACACCCTGCTTGTCTGCCTGGGACCTGCTCCCATGGCCTTTTCAAAACCCCTCTGTGCCAGGGAATATTTAAACATGGGTCACTCTCCCTGGTCTGTGCAGAGTGGGAGCCCCCCAGTGCAGGAGCCATGTCTGTGGGGTCTTTCCTAGACGTGCCCGGTGCTGAGGGGCTAGAGGGATATTATTGAGTCATCACAATAACTCCACAGGTGTGCAAAGGGTCTGTTTAGCCAGGGCCGTCCTGAGGATTTATGGTACCCTAGGCGGGATTATTAAACTGGTGCCCCTATGCCTGACTTGCTCGTAGCAACACAAACATAAGCTTACAGAATTGGAAAACTTGCCACATGCACTTTATTAAAAACAGTTTAACTTATTTAAGCACACTGTAATGCTGGTGGACTAGCACTAAAGAATTAGCGCAATAGAAAAAAATCTGATGTATTGACAGAATGATGCAAATAATATATTTTTTTAAATGTAATGTGTCAACATTTTATTGGAAAATTATATGAAGAGGTATTGAAATGCTATTGTAGTGATAATCAAGATGGCCCATTTAGACAGTTGACAAGAAGGTGTGAGGATACTTAACATGGGGAAATGGGCCATCTTGATTATCACTAGGAAGTTTTTTTCTCCTGCTGATAATAGCTCATCTTAATTAATTAGCCTCTTACTCCACCTTTTCATGTTCTCTGTATGTGTGTATATATATAATCTTGTTACTATATGTTCCATTCTATGCATCCGATGAAGTGGGCTGTAGCCCATGAAAGCTTATGCTCAAATAAATTTGTTAGTCTCTAAGGTGCCACAAGTCCTCCTGTTCTTTTTATAAAATCACTGCTGATAAAGTCTGTGGCTAACACAGCTGGGAG